TGGGGGGTAGGCTAAACCTTCATGACTTAGCCGCCGCAATTTGGAGGTAGTTTTCACAAGTCCTTTGTCATTTCAGCCTAGTATAATCAAGTGGAACATGCTTGCCAATCAGGCTATCGATTTGTGCAGACTTCCAGTTGCTAGATGGCTGCACCCATCCGGTTCCAAGGACTTGTCGATGGATGTTGTTGGCACATGGGGTGCAACACGTTTCACCCGTGGAAGTCTGGATAGCATGTGCTCCTAGCACCACATGTTCTTCAACCATGTTCTAAAAAACACCAAGACATGGCTTCCAAATGCGTGTCTGTCAGAGCTATTCATAGCTCAGATTTCATCCCAACGTCTTGAATTTTCCCCAGTGCAAACGAGGATTTGCTGGACCCTAGCGCGTGATCTGATCAGCTAAGTGCGGCCACACCCACCCCACAGCCAAGATGGTCCAAGGCACTGCAGGCCACATCTAATCAGCCACCTGGGCAACGAGGCCACAAAACACGGCAATCGATGTGGTCAGGTGGTCAGAACACTTCACTTTGCAAAACCTACCTTGGTCAAGCTGCGGTCTTGCAAAACTCCTCCAAAATCGAAGGGTGAGAACTGGACCTCCGAATTCTAGCGGGATGGTTCACCTGTGGTGAGGTATTCCAAATGGGTTACTGGCACGAGGTCAGATCCCAGCATCCTCTGGCACATGTGCTGTATTCTAAACCTGAGCTCGGGACTTCCAAGAACAACAACCCTATACATACACAGCTTGGCTCCAGCTGTAGCATCTCCGAATATACAGTAATTCACCTGCCTGTCAGGGTGGACAGTCAAAGCAAAGAACGCACAAACCTGCCTCCGTGTCAGCCATTGCGGAGTCTCACAGCTAGGATATGCTATAGGTATAGGATGAATGATGTACGTAATTATCAATGTCAAACTGTGAAAACAGCAAACATTATTGAGTTGCCGACACCCAATGACACGGTGCAAGATCATCCGCCAGCTTTGCACTTGCAAACTTCTACAATTGTAGCTTGCCCTGCAAATGTGCCAACATCTGTTCAACACCAAACAGGACTTCCCAAACTACGCCAAGGCTTCTTCGGGCCAACAGGTCGTATACGAACGTTTGATGCTGGGCCAAGAGGTCTTTCTATCCACATCCAGCGATGTGCCATGCTGCATGCTGTCCAGCACAATTCCTCCTCGTAAAATGATGTTGCTAAGTTGGCAGTGTTTCCAAAAAATGGAGCATCCAGCATGATATGCAGCAGTCTTTCTATCTCGGCATCAGGAACCTTTGCACTTTGGTCACTTGAATGCACTTGGCGGAGTGCCGTGCACAGGACTTGCATTTGGCTGATTCAGTGGCCCCAAAGTAAGTGGCAAAGTACATTCAGGATTCATTGCGAAACGAGACCGGTTGCCGGTCCCATCTTGGAGGCCGGATCTACACGAGCCGATCTATTTGGGATAACTTGAGTCGATTCCTGGAGGGCTGCGTTGCCTGAAAGAGCTACTAGCTGACGATACTATACTCAATATGAAGGAGATTGAAGGAGCAACCTGTCAAAACGGTGGATGATTCAGCGCATGTCACCCATCCTGTTAGCACTGACCAGCCAAGCACATATCGATTCCATCGATACGATGCGCAAATCAACGGACTTTTCTGCATGCCGTGGGAGTCGGTCTGGACCGGTTCGCTTTGATGTCAGCCCCAGGCCTCGCTTTGCTTCACATCTTCCTCCTGGACTCGCAATTCGCTGAGGAACATGGTGAACTCGCCATTTGTGCATTGGGGTGTCGAGTTCCCCGCAAGTGAGCATGACCACATAAACCGGTCGTCGAACCAACAGGGCAGGCTAGCCACATAACTTTTTGACCCAAAACCAAGTCCTCCAACCATCTATTGAGGCCGAGGAGAAAAACAATAGCATTTAGTTTAGCATACGATAGCTGACGCGTCCTTGCAATTGTGGAACACCAAACGAACAGCTGTGAAATTCTGGCTGAATCTGAGAATGGAAACAACTGGGCACTGCATGTTTCGACCTGTTTCGAAGTTTCAACCAAATAACATGGAACGGCAACCTTTCGGCGACAATTTACATCTGCAAACCACTGAGCCTTCGAATCCTAGAATGCCCATTTGAAGAAATTGAATGACATTATAAAAATATCCGCCATCTCAGCAAGAATCTTCTGTTCTCATCGACAGGTAGTGATGGCATCTGCCAGCGCGTCTATGCCTGGATCGCGGTTAATGGTCAAAAATGCCACAAGGAGGCCTATGCGAAGTCTGATATACATCCCCAACCAGCGGCCCCATGTGAGTCAATCGGTAGAACTAAGACAAGCCAATCCAACTGCTAACAACAGCCAGCAGCAGCAACAACTACCTAGCGCCTGGCGCCTGGGACATCAAACCGAATGCATTCCTCATTGAATCTCACTTGTTGCTTTACCATCCCCTTCCTCATCATCGTCTGCGGTGACGTCGAACATGCTCTTGATTCGACGGAAATTCCTGTGGTGCTGTGAGCACGCGTGTTCTGTTTCGTCTTTGGCTTGGTGAGGGCTCGAGCACCCATTGAGGCAAAAACATGGTTTTCTTCCAAGTTGTTCCCTACAGAGCCTCATGCTCGGTTTTCTTATCAACGAGCAATACATACGTGGACATATTTGGTTGAAGTCTGAAAGGCTAACAGGTGGAAAAGGATTAAAAAGGAACTGTCGGTTTCAGTCTTTAGCTATTTGGAATATTCCACCAGTGCTAAGTTGCTAAGCAAGCAACAGGTGTCAAGCAATCAAATGTGACTAGTACCTTGGACAACTCCTTGTCTTGGTCAAGCTTCCAAAGTCAACACCTGCCAACCCTTTCCAACGCAGAGCTCAACCTTCTTACTCGTCGGCAGCCCTATCTTCACCTACACATGTACGTTGGATCAGTGAGATGCATGACTTGGACTTCAAACCAGGGCGCTCGTCTTCTTCCTGAGCATGCTTGCACCTGCTCAGATCTTCAGCTCTCGCCACAAAACCTCCGATGCAGCTGCAGGAGTTACAAATACAGTACTGTAATTATCAGTCAGTCAGTCAGTCAATCAGTCAGTGGGCCAGTCAGGGAGACACAACAATGCAAAGCCAGGAAACGAAGGGTTTTGCGGCAGCGGGTGTCCGCACTCGCAACCTCCATGACAACCGGCCCTACATCACTATAAAGGGATACAACTTCCACCTGCAGCTCATAGCGGGTTGCAAGTGGCAGGCACTCCTCTGTGTTCACATAGATTTGACTTCCACGTGCAGATCGCGAATATGTGTAGTAGCTCTTGCCTCCGACAACCTGACTGACATCGTCCAACAAGTCACGGCAGGTGCTCTCCGAGGTTTCCAACACCCACACCCCCACGCCAACAGTGGCTTGGTAGCAAATGCCATTCTGATAATGGAAAAGTTTGCATTGCCACAGCAATGCCTCGACATTGCCGTCATGAGACCTGGCCCCATTGTGGGCCGCATCCCACCAAGAGGGTAAGGGATCATGCGATATGAGCTTGAGATTTGTGGTTCTCCCTAGTCCTTGGAATCTAGCTCCCATCTCACCGGAGCGTTCGTCGTCATCTGCGCGCTGAAAGGCAAACTCCATCCCATGTTCATACGCTGCTGGCATCTGAAAATGGAGGTGCCATTCATCTGTAAGCGGGCCAGTCATCCAGTGGCAATTAATTGACCAACTGTGTTTTGCATTGCCACCTTGCCAAGAGGATTTGAGACAAAACATCTTCAACATCCAACATCCATTTATATTTAAAAAAATATGAATGATATGTATCTCCCCATGCATTGGCGCTCGCTCCTGCCTTTCCTAGAGATATAATGAGATATCCCGAAATGACAAGGATGTCCTGATTTGAGAAAACAGTGCGATGATACGACAAACGTCTAAAGACATCAACTGATATCAAAGCAGCGGAAAACCCAACAGTGTCCTGCTACCTGTGTTGTCAACGTTTGCACACATGCTTCGCCTGATGCCGCGTGTCCTGTGCGGCGGCAACCGCTCAACTAGCATGCTGCCAAATGCTCTGAGACACGAAGGAATGGTCAAGCGAAGTTCGTTGTATTGATATGATGGCATTAATCCATCACTGAGCAAGTGGTGTGCACAGAGTGCACGGTTCACAAACCCAAATTCTTCACACAACACAGGAGGAGCCGCTTTATATACTGGGCGCTTGGTATAACTGAACCTTGACTAAGGTAAGACCCCGTGTTTTTAACCCCCGCAACATCTCTTCCCTTGCCTGAGACTAAGCTGTTAAAAACGAGGGGATGAATATGAAGAACTCAAATGAGAAAGAATGGGGCTATGAGGTCGAACGCAAGAAACAGGATACACAACAAAAATAAGCACCGCCTCTGCAAACATGCTGTGGCAAGTTCAATGCAACACTTAAAGGTACAATACCATGGACTATACTGGACTAAGTCTGCCAGCATCTGCCAGTGGACACCTGCTCGTGCCATGACAAGTGCACAAACAGCCCAAAATCATGAAGCGGATTAGTATTGCATGATGAGATAATGAGTCATTTCATGAATTTGTGAACAGGGATCACAAATGTCACGTGTGGAATCTGTGGGCAAACTGGTTCAGGTTCAACATTTCAGCTGTGTTGCTCCTCAGCTACTTTGTGGTGTTGAGCAATGAAAGGATCAAGGCTGTACTTGTGCAGTGCCTTCTCGGTCCGTTCCACCTGCATATAGTGACACAAGCCCGAAACCACCAATACAGCATGAATTTGGCCATGACGCTGCGCCTGTGTGAGGAAGCAGGGAATGGTGAGCAATGAGTGGGGAGTTGCTCTGATGTCGGTACTTGTTGCTGACGATGTCGGTGTGGTGGTTTCAGTCTTGAACACCGAACACCGAAACATGTGGAGGGGACAGTGGATGCAACTGTCCGGTGTAACATGAGCCCGAGCAGCCAGTCGATAGACAAGGATCAATTGAGGATTTGCAGGTCACTCCATAACGGACACCCGTCGGGTCCGCGTGTCTTGTAAGGAGCCGTGGCCTTCCAATGTTGGGCACAACTTATTGGTGCGCAGGCTGTCCTCCATGTCTCAAACCTGAGTCATACCTGGGTCAGAGGCGTTTGGATAGTAAGCACAAATGAACATTGTGAAGGGGGATTCAGAGCTGGATGAGTGCGCGGAGAAGCCACACAGGAAGGCGAGCTTTTGCGGTGAATCGTGAGGCACACAGCACTCCAACAAATGAAGCAAACAGCAAACAATCTCGCGTCTACGAAGGCCTCTTGCCAACTTGGACACTCAGCTTTACACAAATTATGCAAACTAGTCCGCGAGCTCTGGGTGGCTGAACCTCAACAGCTGTCCAAAACTTAATATGTATTTTATCCTGCAGATTGTTATTCTTGCTTTTGGCAGTTTACATGTCCCAAGTTTGGAGGTCAACGCAGCGCAGTCTGATCCCCTTTCCTGCTGGATCTCCGAGATTTCCTGTTCAGAGTTTCTGCAACCAGAATGCAGCGCGCAACTTTGCTGCGTGAGGCAGTTTGGCTGACCCCACCCAGAATGCACACAGCAAGAGATTAAGAGCGTTGATGTGCTTTGGGCCTGGAAACAACATGAAACAACCGATCGCAATGCGGGAAGCTCCTCGGCTTCTCAAATCATACATGCCCGCAGTTGTGTTATTTTTGTTGGTCAGGGCATGCGGTCCTCCATGTTCACTTAGTAATCTCAGTAGTTGCGCACAATGCGTACATGATTTCGACTCGGCCACTGTCCGCACGCAGCCCCTTGCGGAACGCCTCGTTCGGGACTACACGCTGAGTCTAAGGTCGGGACATGCATAGGCCATGCCGTTGTCGAAAAACTTCAGTGAGTAGCGGTCAAAGGACTTTAGGGAGTAGCTCGAACCTTTGTGCAGCGGCCTCCAAGTTGGGCTCAACTCGAAAACTGCAGGTTCCCACAAATGTAAGCACCCATGTGGTAGATGCTCACCATGAGGAATCTCACCACAAGATGAGCCACGATGACGGGGCTTGATCGCACAACTGCCCGCATATCGCGGAATAGTTGAACTCTCTGGATTCAAGAGCGTCTTCATGGATTTCCATTGGATGAGGTCATAACCGCACAACTCACCTTGAAACTCAACAAGCTGAGGAGACGCCGGCAATATGTGGCCCACATCTTCACTGCAACTGTAATCCAATGCCTTGCGGGTGGTCGTGGTATAGAAGATTTGTGAGTCACATCTAGGTCGGGCTGCTTGCCGAGAGCACTCCATAGGTGGTGGCGGGACAACTTTTGAGAAGAGCTGCATCACGTTTTCTTTGGATGAATGGAAGAAAAAGCGCCCACAGGTTGATCCTTCTTCCTCTGACAGGTCCCATTTGCACCTGTGCATCGAAACATGCAACATCGTCTTGTGTAGTGCAACTTTGCAAGTTTTTCCACAACACTCAATACACGCCAACTGCAAAATTGGTCGTATTTATTTAGGCAAATCGGAAGTATGACACCTGTATTTTACCGAGGCTGTTTCTGGCACTTTATGGTACTGTATTCAGTCCAGGTGTTGAATATTGAAACATCGTTCTTCTGGGCATCATGGGAAGGTCTTCTCCTCCAAATCCGAGACGTTTTAACACATTTCATGGTGCACTGCCAAACTTCGCGTGCTGCTTGCCTATGCATGGCGAGAGCCCTCAAGACCCTAATGATACCAGGACCCGTGTTCAAACACTGACACCGACCCCAACATTGTTGTCTGTAGCAGTCACACAAAAATCATCCCATTAGCCCCAGCCCCGGTCCCACCCCCCATGCATGCATTTTAATATAGATGGTTCACTTCAATGTAGTGTATTATATCCCTACTACCGGGTACCGTATTGTTAGGGGGACCTCCGGGAAAAGCAAGTTACATTTTTCCAATTGAAACCACCTCCAAAATGTTGAAAGTCGATGAAGTTGAATTAACTTATGGCCCCCCTAAAAAAGCCTAACTGTAACTTACTAGTTCTACAAAAAATGTAAGTTACAATTTGGAAAAGGAGAGCTGTGGCTGCTAGGGCTGCTAGGGGGTGCCCGAACCAGGTCTTGCCAGGGTTTGTGCAGGGTTTAGGAGACTTTCATTTTTGTGAACATGTAAGCTGTGAGTGCTACAGGGTTCCAGAACCATGGGTTTTGCAGCGGTTTTGGAGACCTCCAGCTTGGAGAAGTTACATGTTCTGCTCTGTAAAGGTGCCAAGTGGTGTCTAAAATGCAAGCTGTGGGTATCTTGGTTCCAGAACAATGGGTTTTGCCAGGGTTTGGGGGACCTCCAGCTGGGAGAAGTTACATTTCTGCTGTGGAAAAGGGAGGCCAAGGGTGCCTTCCGGAAGAGGAGAGCTGTGGCTGCTATGGGGTGCAGAACCAGGTCTTGCCAGGGTTTGTGCGGTCTGGGGGACTTTCATTCATTGTTGTGAAAATGTAAGCTGTGAGCACTACAGGGTTCCAGAACCATTGGCTTTGCCAGGTTTTGGAGACGTCCAGCTTGGAGAAGTTACATGTTCTGCTCTGTAAGGGGGGAAGTTACATTTTCTGCTCTTCCAGTGTAGGGGCCGAAGTAAACACAGCAAATGCCAACAATACAAACATAGCCTAGCAATGTTTCTGGGGGACACTAGAAGGAACAGGTAGGCAAGTTGCATTTTGATATAGTGTAGGTTCTGGACCTCCAACTATGTAAGTTAAAATAACTTGCCCCCCCATCCCCTAGAAAACAATGTAAGTTACATTTCCTAGACGTCCCTGCCGGTTTCATACCCCACAAGGCGGGAGGGATTATCTTTTCAGAAACGTCATCAAGCCGTTGGAGAACCTCCCGTCTGCAGCCTTTAAATGTGGTAATTACTACACATCTCACCAACACATCCCAAAGATGTAACACCGGCGCCTTCCGACTGGCTGAGACTCTACCACCATCCACTGGATCTTTCCATCTCCATCTGCACACTCGTGCCCGTGGAACACTAGCTGCTGTCCAGCTTCACAAGTATGTCCTTGCGAATCCTGCAGCTGGGTCCTCAACCAAGCCGTATGCACCACATCTCTGGAACATACTGGCAGGGGAAGGCATTCTCCTTGTGGGCTATCTTCTGTCCATGTGATCTGGCCAGAAAATCCAGGCAAGCATCTGCAATCAGGACCTGCCGCATAGTCTGAATGTTGAATTCGGCATGGTGCCGCTACACAAGTCCCTGATGGTGTCCAAGCCTGCCAGGAGATAGCTCCACTGTAGCCATCCAAGCAGCGGCATGCGAGACCTTTCTTCTGGTTGGAATGTGGAATTCTACATGGCGCAGGCATGCACCTGCCCCCTGCCACCGATCCATTCCACGTGATGGAACCAATGTAGCCCGGGAGGCATTGGCACAATGTGCCTGGAAGATGGTTGGAGTTGCTCACATTGCAAGGCGCGCGCGTACAGTTTCCATGCAAGACTGAGATCAGGGAAGTGTCGTTTCGATTGACTTCTGCATTGACCGTTCCTGCATAGCCATCTTTGCACCTGCAGCCAGGCCCACTGACTCCATTCACATGTTCGCCAACACATGGCATCTCTCTGCATGCTCCTGAATGCTGTGAACCAGTCCAGGAAATGGTGCCGCTATATCCTTCCAAGCAGTCACAAACTGGGCCAGCCTTCCGGTTGGAATTGCCAACGTTGCAAGGAGCAGGTTTGCACAACCCTTGGGAAGTGTTGCCCTTCCAAGTGATCTTACCATTATATCCATCCTGGCAATGGCAACCTAGGCCCGCCACTTGGTTGGAATGTTCGATATTGCACAGTGCGGGTCTACAAACTCCATGGTATTCATAATCCATTCTCCATGCTTTTTTGTAGAATCCAAATGAGTTAAGGACCTCGCCATCCTCACGGAGCACTTCCTCTATTAGCACGGTGCCATTGAAACCGTCTGCGCACCCGCAGTCTGGCCCATCCTGATGGTTGACATTGCTGCCCAAACAGGGGATCGCGGTGCAACTTCCATATGCTTCTGCACCATGCCAATGGATCGTGCCAGTAAAGCCATCCTTGCATTTACACTCCGGCCCTGGTTTCATATTGGAATTTGATATGTTGCAAGCAGCAATTTCGCAACTGCCGGTTGGAGCCGATCCATTCCAGACAATGCTTCCACTGAAGCCATGTCGGCAGCTACAGTTCGGGCCAGCTTCTTTGTTGGAATTTTGGATGTCGCATGGTATGGGGTGACACTCTCCTTGAAACACATCACGTGCCACTTTCTTCCATGTAGTGCCACCACCGTACCACGAAGTGTCATCAGCCACCTCTCGCAATTCCTCCTTTGTTGTTGCTCGCGTTGTTCCATTGAAACCAGCTCTGCAGCTGCAGTTGGGGCCAGGCTCACCATTGACACCATCTCCTTCACAAGGCCAAGGCTTGCATGGTCCAATTGCCTTGGATCCCTTCCAAGTAATTGTGCCTTCAAAACCATAGAGGCAGTGGCACTTAGGACCTGGTATCATGTTGGAGTTCTCGATGTTGCAAGGCAAAGCTTCACACCTGCCGCTTGGTGTGGACCCATTCCACACGATGCTTCCATTAAAACCTTCAGCACATCGGCAAGCAGGACCTGGTTCTCCGTTGGAGTGCTGGATGTGGCAAGGCGCAGCTTCACACATAGCTTCGACGGCTTCAGTGTAGAAGGCTCTGTTTCTGATCTTGGCTGGTCGTACAGTTCCACTGTACCCATCTGCACAAGCGCAATCTGGTCCATCCTTACCGTTCAGGTGCTTGCCCACACATTTCCTTGGGCTGCATCTTCCGTCAGCAACTGCTCCTTGCCAATGGATCTTGCCCGTGTACCACTCTAAGCACTTGCACTGCGAACCCGGCTTCATGTTGGAGTTGGGAACTTGACAAGGTGCAGGCGTGCACATTCCATCAGCACTATCACCCTTCCATACGATCTTTCCGGCAAAGCCGTTCTCACATTCGCATTGGGGTCCAGTGCCCTTAGCATTGGGAATGTTGCAAGCGGCTTCTGTGCAATTACCGCTTGCATGGGGACCATGCCAGTCAACACTGCCACGGAAGCCATCCCTGCACTTACACTCCTTCCCTGGGCGTCCATTGGAGTTGAAAATGTTACACCTTAGATTGTGCACTGGCAGGTCTGACACATGCCCAAGACCCGACTAAGAGAACAGCACTCTCTATACATAGTTTGGCCAAAAAAATAGACACACTGACCACGGCATGCACAAGTCTATATATAGATCAATCCAGGGGCTTGCATCTGCTGTGCACAAGAATGTTCACAAAAAATGCATGTGTGCCACGTGTCGGTGAAGAGTGTTCAACAGTGTCACCTTTGCCTCTTCTGGTGTTGAACACTGCAGAATCCGGCCGTGCTCCAAACTTATCAAGGACAGCACTTGTCAAGGACAGCACAAAACATGCATCAGTGCCTCAAGTCTGAGCCACTCAGTCACTGCTTGGCATACTCCAATCCACTTGCCACCTCCCCACTCGACCTTGCCGTCAAAACCATCATCACAAATGCATTTGTCAGCTTGCAAGGTGGCATTCTTGACACCGCAAGGAGCGGGGTCACAAGCCTTGGAACTGGAGCTAGCCAACACAAGTTTGTTGCAATGCATGAAAGGCCGCAAAAACCTATATGCTTCATTACTTTGAATATGTGTCTGTATGTATATCTACACGCAACTTTTCCAAAAGAACCCGCCAAACAAAAATAACTCATCGGAAAACGTTAACCAAAAACATGTTGTAGATTGTTGTAGGTACAATGTCGAAGAATGTCCTTCAATCATCGTGTCCAATAAACAATGACAAATCCAAGGGTATGTTCTACCCCTCTACGAGCAAATTCGATTGTTTATATGTGATTATAGATGTACAAACACATTTATGGATGTTTTACTCACAGAGAGAGAGAGAGAGAGCTAAGAACATGAACAATCAACTTCAATTGGTGGCCCACTGGCCCAGCACCCTGGACAGGCCGCAAATCCATGACACATAAATTAAGTTGTGCATGATTAATAGTCGCTGCTGCGAGAATAAGTAATTACCTGCAATGCAATGCTCCATCTTTACAATTACAAGCCCAAGCCCTCAAAAGTCTTTCTCATGCAGCTGCAGTGAACCCCTTCTGGAACTGAACCATTCCAAGTGATGTTGCCTGTATAGCCAGGTTCACATGCACATTCGGTCCCATTCTTCCGATTGGAGTTTGGGACGGCGCAGGGCACGACAGAACAAAGTTTGCTCAAGCTCCGGTAGTGCTTTGACGAAATCTGCATATTCCTCAGGGTGCAAGGGTCCGGAATCGAATGCTTGGAAGGTCCCAGGTTCCAACTTCAATCAGCCACTCAGAAGCTGGAAGATGACATGTTCCCAGGAACTCAAATAGAGGTTGGTTGTGACAAAGATTTTCAAATTGCTGTGCCAATATATAATATATATATATATAACAGAAAGGAGCGCTCTGAGCGGCGCGTTTTTGCATTGTTTCATTTTGTTTGTATTTTGTTTCTATATTTGTATTGTGTTTCTATTGATTTTTGTGCCACTGAAAGAATCCTATTCTGCCTCAACCCCCCCCTCCCCCAAAGGCAATTTCCAAAATTCCCCCAAAAAACAACAAGATGGAACCCACGAACCCGAATGCAAACACGATCGAAAAACTAATATGTCCAAAGGACACTCTTGTAGGACACTCTTGCGGGACACTCTGTAGGACACTCTTGTGGGCCACTCTTGTAGGAAACTCTTGTGGGACACTCTTGTAGGACACTCTTGTGGGACACTCTTATAGGACACTCTTGTGGGACACTCTTGTGGGACACTCTTGTGGGACACTTTTGTGGGACACTCTTGTAGGACACTCTTGTGGGACACTCTCTTGTAGAACACTCTTGTGGGTCACTTGCAGGACACTCTTGTGGGCCACTCTTGTAGGAAACTCTTGTGGGACACTCTTGTAGGACACTCTTGTAGGACACTCTTGTAGGACACTCTTGTCGGAAACTCTTGTGGGACACTCTTGTGGGACGCTCTTGTGGGACACTCTTATAGGACACTCTTGTGGGACACTCTTGTGGGACACTCTTGTAGGACACTCCTGTACGACACTCTTGTAGGACACTCTTGTGGGACACTCTGCGGGGCACTATTGTGGGACACTCTTGTGGGACACTCTTCTAGGACACTCTTGTGGGACACTCTTGTAGGACACTCTTGTGGGATACTCCTGTAGGACACTCTTGTGGGGCACTCTTATAGGACACTCTTGCGGGACACTCTGTAGGACACTCTTGTGGGCCACT